CCGAGTTACGCAAAATGTTCAGTGTGGGCAGAACACTTGAGAATACGTGTGCTCTTCCAATCCTAAAGTTGTCCCGACAAAATCACGTAGAATTATAGTTTTTTTTACTGTTTTTTCGATATTGGTTTTCCTCCGCGCATCCTCGTTAAAAGCTCGTATCACTCATTGGCGGTTCACAGCGGGCACCTCCCACGCACGATACAAAACCAGGTCGACGGGTGTCACATCTTTAGTTAACGTTAAGCATCAGAAGGGGTCACGATAAATAGTAGTAAAGACAAGTTGCTACAGTTGTAGCAATACTCAATGAATTATGATTGTAGAACTACTAAGGACGACAATTTTGGTCACTGTTCTTGTTGAGGTTAATGGCAGGCCGTCTCAACTACAAACAACAAAGGAAAAACTGCACAGGTTAAGAAGAATCTCTGTAAGTACAATTGATATTCATTCATACAGTCGACAACGATTGACTGAATTACTCGTCGATGTTTGGTAATGAGACAGATATGTGTTGAAAATGTTATTTTCGTGTTTATTTGTAGAAACAGCATCCTATAACGAAGACCACTAGTCGTGGTATGACCTTAGATCAAGTTGACAAACACACCTTACAAGCGCGGGCTAAAAATACTTATTTAAAAAATCCTAAATTTCTCGACAAAGTCCTCAGAAATGGACTTCAACGCARGAAGAACTCGCTGGTCGGCTCTTCTGAAGAAAAGAATTACAAACTTAATGTTGACACACCGTCTATCTCAGCCCTTGCTCCGAGATGTGGAGTCAAGGACTCCGCGACCATTGGCTGGAACAAGCTAGCTAAATTGAGAAATCTCCCAATGAGAGTTCGAAGACGTTTTCGACGATATGCCGCTCAAGGTAGTAAATGGCCGATCTCTCAGTACACTTTAAAATGGACAGTATCTAAGTGGAGCTCAAAAATGACTAACGCTGAAGTAAAGAGTACCTTGGAAAAGGCTTTCCGAGCCTGGGCTGAGGTTAGCCCTTTGAAGTTTAAGTGGGAGCAGAACGCAGCATTAGCGAACATTGACGTTAAATTCGCTACAGGTGAGTGTTATGTTTACGAGTGTTGGTGGAGTTTGTTGTGAGGGTTGTGTTTAGGCACGTCAAGGCTCGACTATGCGGCATTTACTCATCTAGTCATGCCAGGTCATCATGAAGCGTAAAAATGTAAACACGATTTTTTTTTATTCGGCGCTGCCGTGTGTAAAAATGTTTGTTTGGTAAACATATCATTCTATGATTAAATTGAAAAATAGATCGGCTCCGTCAGGGTTATAAAGTTACCTTATGATGTAACCAAAATATTATACTGAAATATCCAGTTTCTTCAAGTTTGCGCAATATCTTTTGGCATATCTTAATATTACCTTTTATTCAGTTCAAATGCAATGCTTACAGAAGCTAAGTATTTTAGGCACTATAGAATTCACGTTGACATTGYTGTTGTGATTTTTTTGTTTTTTGTTTTACTACATTTCTTCTGCCTTCTTGCCGTGAAGTGGGGAAGTTCATATCCGGCACCTAGTGAGTCGCTAGGATCATGAACATAATCTACTTTTAAAATTTAGTACTTCTAAAGCCATTCAATTTTTCCGGATGAATCTCGAGGAACCGCATGTGACTGGTTCCAGAAATATCCAACCTGTTTTACCACCAAGGCATTCATCTTTGATGTCTTTTTTGTTTCTACTCACTTGAGAGTTATTATTTCCGTTTTTGTCTTGCCGATGGACCTACACGATCCTGAAGTTATTCTTCGTGATAGCTCTCTTCCCTTTAGCGTGAGGTTTTTCTCCGGTTTCGCTTCCTCGCCGGCCAAAAGTTAATGATGACTTAAGTAAAGCGCGCTTTTGGCTACGATTGGAATGTCGACCTACCCGTGACAAGTCCTCGCGGACTCTCTGTGGATACCCTAGCGCAAAGCCCAAGTTTAATTCCCGATTTCGTAGCATTACAAAAGACGATCATCTTTAAGCGAGAATTCTGCTCAGAAGGAGGAGGAGTGAACATGAACAAAAATGAACCACACCCCAAGACCCACCCCCCTAGACCCACCCCCTAGACCCACCCCCCTGCCCCTTATCATTGAGCTAGTATTATGATTTTAACAGACAGAAAATTTCAGTAAAGTGTTGATCTTGACTGCGAGCGTCCATTTCAGCTTATATGATGTATAGAGTCTAAGCCTTCTCAGACCTCTAGAATACGTCTATCTACATAATRAAAACTACTTATAAAGTTAAAACGTTGTCTGCATAACGTTTCGTTCAGTGCTCACATGCTAAAAATACGAGTTCAGTTTTGACATGTTTGGCCGATATTCGGTATAACTCTCGACTGMWCGAATGCTKTCTCTCACGTTTTGAAACACCAATGTCATGATTAGTGTCGTGAACTTTGCGCTCAAACTGGGAGTCCTGCAAGGCGACCCATATACTGCATTACAACCAAATATCAAGGAAACAACATAGCTGGTTCTTTGCGACCGCTGGAACTTAGTGACTGTAAAGTAACCGATGAGAACACTAACAATAGTTGAGTTTCGCGATCTCTTTTACGCTGTGTTAGCCTCAATTGTGTGCTAAAATATTCAGAAATGTAGATAAAACTCGTGAGATTTCAAACTATTTCCAGATCTCTTGCATTTGCATAGGCTGTTGTGTATAAAAGAATTTATTACATGGTTTTGAGGCTAACACAGCGTAAAAGAGATCGCTAAAATGGTTTATTGCATGCGTGAAATTACAGTTGATAACAGATCTTACAGTCAAAATAACTGAAAATTTTGTCGTACTTTTTTAACTTTCACATTTAAAAACATAGATTTGATTGTTTTAAGCGTACAGGTTAGAGTTAAGAGGTCAGCGTGAAAGAAATGTTACACTAACATTTTCTGTTAGTCTCGAGTAGTCGTAAGGAATGTTCATATCACTCAATTCTGCAATGGACGGCCGGTCAGGAATGGTATGCATCTTGTTCTCTGTATATGGTTTGGAATAATTAATACCTTTTATCAATCATATCATACTTCCATTGCGCAATCTCGAATAAAAGCGTGCTCGAGTAGTACGATACTTTCTTAGCGATTAAAAGTCTGTGCTTGGCTCGAATATGGAAAAATGATATTGAAATTTCCTTTCAATTGTTCGTAAATAGTTCGTCGTTTTTCTATCTTTTTCTATTTTTATAGGAACGTTACTTTGGCACGGATATACCGTTAATTGTATTCTTAAAATATCCGTAAAACCCGGCTTTCCTTCCTTGTATTGTCCCTGATATTTCTATTGTCTATGGTGATTTTAGATCAAACACTGTGGTTTTGGCTCGTTTTCCACATTATCACTTAAATTCCTAGGCGTAATTCCCAAGATTAAAGAAAACACTCATGCCAGGATATTATATCATGAGATAATTGTACGCCCCCAAAGTATTCAAACCGAGACAAAAACAAAAATTGCACGTACCATACTATTAGAACAATAGTTACTAAATGAAAAATGAATAGATAAAAGTAAATACGAGTTTTTACTCGATAAGGGAGAAGAACATTGAGGTATACTGAGCCAAACAATCATAGGATTAAAATAGCACAAATAATGGTAAATTCTTCACATATAAATACACTAGCTCTAAGCTATAGGAGACGCTGCCATACATTCAAATGTCTTCATTATACATGCCTAACGGCGTATGTATATAAAAGAACATTTAATTGATAATGACTATCAATAATAAATTCAACTCTCGAGTGTTCTTTTTCCTTTATTGAATTACGATGTGATAACATATATCTTTGTACTATATATATGTACTCATTCCTTTTCTTCTTCTTCTTTCCCATATATGACAATTCACAATTACGGCAACCAACTCAAGCAATTTAGCTCCCTTGGTTGCCGTACACGTACATCAATTAAATAATAACTTAACTATTCTAGGAGCTATGCATTACTTTTAAGACTAAACCCAATTCTGATTTTCAAAAGAACACAATTTACAAGATGTTTATAAACCTCGAGTTCCTAGCTTCCTCCGCCCGTTGACAGCAGTGACTTCTGATCCTTCCTATTTGAGGAAGGTTTCAGCCTCGATCTCTCTTGCAAATTCGATGAGCACGACTATCACTGAAGTCTGGAATCAAGCTAATGATTAATTGTACAGCAACATGGCAGCATTCTATTCTCGTGAATTGAGCGTGTATACTTTATTAAAAAATCACGTGATTTGAAATCTTCTGAAAAATACAAAACGATGTGTCAGCTATGACGTCAGGGTGCAACAATACGCATATCACTTCTGCAGTGTCATGTGAAAAACACGAGAGAAATCTGAGTGATTTCTTACAACGCGATACTGGGATTGTAAAATCCAGTCATAGCTTCATGACTCGGCATTTTGATTTAATGCTCGTTGATACAACATGTCACTCATCTTTTAAAACCCTCTTAAATGTCATCCGTTATACTGTTGAACCTTGTCAGGAGAACTGATTTCCGTCTCTCTGCTTTGCACATGCGCAGTCACAGTCAAGAGTTTGGATGACTCGGCCGGAAATGACGTTTACCGTCCTTCTTTTCAGTTATTCCTTCAGATCATATTACTGATATGTTGGCGAGTCTCTCCTTTTATCTTCATGTATCTTGGGCTTCCTGTCTGAACGAGATCACAGGGATCCCAAAGAGTAAAATCAACTGAAAAACCTATTGAAAAACTTATTGAAACTTTGACGGATGCATGCTGATTGTACGCTAATGTTTATTCACAGGTTACCATGGTTGCAAGCAATCTTTCGATGGTCCTAGAGGTATTCTCGCGCATGCGTACTTCCCTCAGTATGGAGGTGACATACATTTTGATGACGCAGAGCCTTGGAAACCTGATAGCACTAGCAGCAATTATAAGAGCCTACTTAAAGTAGCTATACATGAGATTGGACATAGTCTTGGACTGCAGCACTCAGACGTGTCAGGRGCCATCATGGGACGCTATTACTTGAGCTCGTTGAGCACCAGGCTCGGTGATGATGATATTAAGGGAATTCAAAGCATTTATGGTAAGGAAATAATTACCTGATAACGATTACTTCAACTGCAATGTTTCTGCGTTAAAATCTATCATGTCTACCACTATAGCATGCAACTGCATTGATACACGTACCATGCCGAGATTGCAGTTTCACAATGCCGTTACAATATCCACAGATTGCTGATGATTACCATGACTACTGTGTGCATGACTACTGTGTGCATGACTACTGTGTGCATGACTACTGTGTGCATGACTACTGTGTGCATGACTACTGTGTGTTAGGGAAAAAAAGGGAAAAGGTGTTGAGTGCTAATCGTCCTTCATGGCATCACTGGTGCTGAATTACAAAAGTGCTATACAAACACATACACTTACACATAGGCGTGCTGCCGGCTAGGCTCTTCCTTTACATAGCAACGTCGACTGATCGCGGAGCACAGAAGATTGARATTTTCTTATACTGAGGGAGGAAAAACCGAAAATAATCCGGGAAACCCTCGAAGCAAAGGAGAGAACGAAAGAAACTTAAATTATACATATGGCGTTTACAGATTCAAACAGGGTCCACAAAAAAAAACCCTGCTCTTAAAACCTTCTTATTTAAACAAACTTATGATCTGTAACTCTATTTTAACTTTCTTAATATCTTAATTTTTACCTTTTTATTTGCGCTTTATAAGCTTAGATTATTATTATTATCATTATTATTAGTGGTGACAGCGCCCTCTCCGCTCGGCCATCCTTGCTTCCCAAACGTGCCTTATTAAATAATTGTTTTTAATCATTTCTTTTGAAGGTCGTTGTGAGCCAAGAAAAATTGATAGCATAGAATCATCATTTTATGTTGGCAAAACATATATATTTAGAGACTCGCTCTACTGGAAATACAACGATCTCAAGAACCAAGTCCAGAGGCCAGACTACCCACGTGATGTCCCTAAAGGATGGAGTGGTCTCCCTAGTAAAATCGATGAAATGTTTCAATGGAGGTAAGCATTCCGTCCTAATGACGTCACGTGTCGAAATGCATCATGGTATTGAGTACCGAATACCATGGCTGATATGAATAGCCGACTTGCGAATTACGCATCAATAGTCACATACAAAGGAATCAAGACGAGGCGCCGTGCTAAAGTCAATAGATTTTTCACAAAAAAGCACGGCGCCTCGTCTTGATTCCTTTGTATGTGACTATTGATGCGTAATTCGCAAGTCGGCTATTGCGGAGGTCATATTTTCTTTACAAAACTTAACGCTATTGTGAGTGATCGTTAAAGTGAACCCTTTTAGAAAATCGTTTTATAAGAAAGAGAACATGCTGCTAAGAACTTCTGCAAAGGAAAAAGAGAAAAAATATTCAAATTTGTATCTTCTGATTTCAAAAAAATCGAAAATGAAATTTAAGTGACGTCAACTAAGGAATGGCAAAAAAGGGCATAACCCTTTTTTAGATGGAAAATAACAATTCAACTCTTGAATATTGATGTTATATCTATGATTTGACCATTTCAACCAAACGCAAGATATCGTACTACAATGAAAAACATCCAGCCCAATTCCTTGGTTGACGTCACTTCATTTGAAGTTGCCTTTAATTGAGAAAATTCAAACAACTTTGTTTTTCTTAAAAATAAAGCTTAGAAACATATTTGCCTATAGGTAAAAATGATTTTCTAAAACGGTTCGTGTGCACTTTAAAATAAGGATGATTACTGAATGATATTTCTATGTGCATATCGTAGGTACAACATGAGAGTTTATTTCTTCGTTGGAAACCAATACTATCTTTTTGATGAATATCGAGATAAAGTCGAAAGTAACTATCCCAAGTTGATTTCAAAGGGATGGCCTGGTGTACCTGACAATATCGACGCTGCGATGTCGACAGATGACTACACAAGTTACTTCTTCAAGGGAGATACATGCTACAAGTATGATGGCGGCCTTGACAAAGTTGTAAAAGTCGACAAGATATCAAACATGTGGCCAGGSGTTCCTAATGATCTTGATAGCGCGTTCGTGTGGTATTACAACGGGTTTACGTATTTCTTYAAGGGAGAGTACTACTTCGAGTGGGGCACATCGATTCAGCACGCTAACGGACCCAAACCTATCAAAGATAAGTGGAATAATATATGTGAAGTTTAACGTGGTACAGGAGGCTTTTAGAAAACCCGTAGTAAGCTACGCTTCTGGCTCGAAAAAATATAAATAATTCTATGCGAAATGTGAGAAAATTATTAGTCCTGAATGAACTTCTTTTCCCACAATGAAGGTTCGAGATTCATCATGGTATTGTTGATAGTACAAATGGAGCCATGTTGCTTTTTAGCAATTTCATCGACTGTTTTTCCAATAATAAGCCATATCATTACATAACATACCCTACCATGTAGGAATCTTATGCTCTCTCGATTTCAAGAGGGAAGTTTAATATTCGCCAAATTGATGCTTTTATCAATGCCTATATGACGCACGTTACCACCTGCAATGGTGGATACGTAAAGATCAATATTTATCTGCAATATTATAATTCTTATTCATTTAATCTGTACATATTGTGTAAATACCAATATATACAAACTACATCAATTTATAAATATATCTTATGTATAATAGTGTAATTATTACAATGGTATGTTTTAAAAAACTATAAAATAACCGTAAAGAAATATAAATGTATAGCTACATCAAAAAGGTTGTCGCTAAATCCGTGAAATTGTACTAATTTTTTAGGTCCTCTTTTGTTCAAATTTGAGTACGGTGCTCATAACGAAAAMTGGCCATTCAARCAACTTTTTGCTTAAGCCCTGWAGAATTAGTACACTATTTGTACAATTTCACGGAATACGTGCGTTGACATCCTCGGGAACTAGGRATAATCTTTTGTTATGAATGAGTTWCAATGGATTAYACCCCCTGGTCTGCCGAGGATGGTCGGCGTTCACTCTATATGMATATATACTTGATTGATATTCAATCGCCAAACTATTTGGAATTTTACTTATTTGTGAAGCTTTCAAACTCATTGCTCAATTTTTATCGACAGATTTTAATGTCAGTTATCGTATTTATATATCGTGTAGTATAGTATCCAATATCTCTTCCAATGACTATAGGTGATAACACTTGGTAAGGGAACACCGCWTTTATTAGCTCAGACTTRGCCKCTTTTGCTTGTAAAATATYAAATAATGCACAAGCAMTCGTGTTTTATTTTCTGTAGTCTCTTCTTTTAGCAAATAATCATGATTACTTTGCACACAATCGAGGCTAAGACTATCTCAGCACATTACAAGCATTATTTACTAAAGTTACTCTCTTGACATATATATTTTAAGCATCTCCATGCATGAATTTGTATATAGCTCTCAAATTGTACATAATTTACTCTAAATGTCTGCATTGATGCACGTGCTAAACCACATTTTCCGGTCTAAAATCAATATTTGCGAAACCGGCGCCAAACATTTCCGGTTCTTAAACCGGAAGTACTTAAGGCTATTAAACTTGGCCGTCCCTGGCCTTGACTTGCCTCCCTCWCTTCCATTCTCATATCTTCTTTTTCCGTCTTCAGGAATTTCTTCACTTCTTTTTCTAATTCTTTACCCATCTCTCTTCTTTTTCCGTTTCTCTCTTGCAGTAAATATAAAAAAATGTACAACAGCATGAGGAGTTTTTCAATTATAAAACAACTAATGCCATTATTGATAGTTTATTATACCTGCTATATAGGAGAAAAAAAAAATGAAATTACTCATAACATAACTACAATAATTAATTAGAGTGTGCAAACAATAAAGGCGTGAAATAGTACACGTTCTTACAAGAGTTAAAAGCCACTTTATTAGTAAAGTGAAGTCAATAATCCCGTGAAACAGTATTTGACTATCAAAGTGTGATAGTCAAGTAGTCACACAAGAAAACGATGCACGGACCGTACTAAGGTGCATTAGATCAATATCTATATTTCACGGGTTTTTGAACTTCAATCCGTCCGTGAAACATATATTTTGAGGAGGTTTCACAAAATTAAGTAAACATTACCGCTAATTTGCCTCAAATTAGTTAGACATAAATCCATTTCACGATTATAGTGAATACAATTAATCTACCAAGTCATTTCACTCTACACTGTCGCCATTTTGAATAGATCAAAGGGGCTGTTCTGATAATTGATCCAATAATGTTTGGATATTTTGAAAAATCAGCATATGAACAAAGCTGGCATTTACAACAGTTTTTTCCTACATCATAAAATAAATACGTTATAGTGTGTATCATCTTAATTACACAGAACGGATGTCAGAAACTTCTGACGGATGTATATAGCGGAAATCTCTATCTAGAGCCCACGTTCCTTTTGGTCTGCGCCGAGAAAGCAGGAGGAGGAACAATCTCGTACCCAGAACCCGCACTTTTGCCATCCGTCGTCATCATACCGCTGACATTAGGCGTGAAGACTCTGGGCTCGAGATTGGAGGAGGAAAGGAACGCGGGCGCTAGCAAGCATGATCGCGTACAGCGGTTGAATCATGCATGCAATTAGTATGTAATATAGAATCTTATTGTGATAGACTTAAAATTATAGGATTTTTATGCAATTCAATGGCATATTTAGTGGAATAAGTATCATTTAAAATAACAGTTAGCAATATTTTAATTTTGCAATCTTTGTATGACAGACTATCTGGTTGCCTATATCTTTATATGAGTATAGGGTACAAAATTGATCAAAAGATGAGATTAAAAGTTGAGATTATTTATATGTATGCCTAATTGCAATATACCTTTGTCAGAAAGAAATGTCCCGGTATTATATTAAGTGAGAAAGAAAACGTTAACAAGACAAAAGAAAGCGTTCGGCCTTGTTCTTTATTCCTTTTATACAATAAATTTCTTTTTCCTTTTTCCTTTTCCTTTCTCTATGACAAGGTTGTTGCAATTAGTGTTTTTATATTTTTCTGTCTTTATGACAATTACATTATATATAGTCAAGCTTATATCGATCATCGCTATAGTGAACGCACTTGATCCGTGATATTTAGTAGTCCGGCTCTGTACAGTATTTTGAATTTATCAAAGGATAATGGAGATTCATGTCCGCTTCAGGTACAGAATTTCTAAAATAAATATTACATCAATTCTACGTTATGATACACCCGAGGAATTGCATTGTTTTCTTTTGTATTTATTTGACTATCAACAGTTTTGTTTCAAGGATTTATTAACATTGATTATTTGCACTTTAAAATTACACTCTAGTTCTATAATATTTCTACAATTTCAAGTGCGTTTACTCTAAGCAACATGTATAAGTTAGTATAGTCTCATATTCCCCAGAAATCTAATGTGTCATTTCTTGTCCCACATGTGAAATTTTGAAATAAAATACTTACACCTGAGTCGGATTATTCAAATGACTATAGGTACATGTGTAACTGCGTACTTTGAGTTACGAGCGCAAATTTCCTAACTCCAWGTGTKTCTATTTCTCTCGTCCCAAGTTGCCTAACACCACAATGCAAAGTGCGAATTAGACGGCACAACTTTTGGCTACAACCATTGCATGCAACCTGTCCCAACATGGCTACAACTGTCGTTAATAGCCCCACGACTGTTGTAACCATGTTGAAGGACGAGCAATTGTGTGCAATAGTAGACTTAGACAAACGTTGTGTCATCTAATTCGGCCTTAATTCAGATGTCGTTTGAAAGCCACTTCAACATCAAAGAGCATGTTAAAACTGAAGATTGGTGAAAAAGCACAATTTAAGGTCATGCGCATACCAGTATTCTGTTAACTTAGGAGAGCCACTCCCGTAAAATATACGTGAAGAGCCACTCCCGTAAAAACGTGAAGTACAGTACAGCATATTTCACAACTACCCCAGCCACACGGATCATTACAATTGCGTGATCGACTAAAATTGCTTATTAAAAGCTCTTTAACGGAATCAGGGGTCAGACAATTAATCTTGTTGGTATTCCACAAAGGTCGTCAAGAGGAGAAGAATCTGAGGATCATATYCCCATTCTTCTCGTGGAAATTCGTTTCGGACGGCAAGCTGCATTCCAATATAATGATCACTTGACCTTTTACCTCGTTGATGTTCATCTTTCAGCCGTTTATTTGGCCATTAACTAGTTTCTTAGTCTCGACGCACAGTATGCATGCCGTCAAGACTAAAGGTCCTAAAGGAGAACGATACTACATTATGTTTGTATAATGCGTTATTGTACAAGCCATGATCTGTTTAACGACAGCCGCGGAATATGCAACTTGTCKGCAGTGAAATATGCAGCACGAAATCTTCTGAACACAGGTTTAATRTTGATCAGTCTTGSAGGATAGACAAGGGTACGCACTAGATARCCTGCTTGCAGTCGCGGTTTATATTACTGTACTTTAGTACAATATGCACGAGCGTATAACGTGATTTATATCTTTTTAAATTCGACTAACCGTGCACTTTAGTCACCCGAAGAAAAAAGTAAAAGCACTATTCGCTAGTACTAGCTCCCGTGACTTTGCTAGTTACAGTACGCTGTCGGCTTGTATGATGTGCCGCTATGCACAGTTTTTATGATATAGCACGTGGTTGGTGTTTGATTATGTAAGGCACGAATGCAACCGAGCTGTAGACAGACAAATGCTGCGGTGTAAACTGACTCGCATCTTTAAGAAAAGAGGTCAACACATCATTGATTTTTTAGCTTAATATAGAAGGTTGACTTGCATGTACTTGATTATTGCAAACAGTTTCGTTTGGCGTTGCACCTGATGATCAAGCGAGCAGGCAAACGCAGGTCCCCAATGTGTGGTCGATAGCTGCGTTCTTTGCGTGCAGTGAAGGCCTAATTGCACATACTCCGCCTCGACCTGTTATTTATATATGGTGGGATTACGGGGTTACAATTTGAAGTATTTCCCGTTACACGTCTTCATATATACCAGTCTTCTATTTGCGTCTGATTCATCGGTCACTCCAGTCAGTTTTTGCTACTGATCGACAGGTGGACGATTTTTTCGCTCTATTGATGTCAAAACATGAAGACCATATGCCTGCTTAATGAGTTCAATTTGTTCATTTTCCATAAGACTTTTTAAAAACACCTGTTTGCATTGAAAACATTTCTTTATTACAAAACCTTTATATATAGAATAATTATATTTTAATTAGGTTTCATCATGATAACAAAGTTGACATTTGCTGGGACAAACAATTTGACTATTTAGCGGTAGAAAACTCCAAAACATAACAAGAACCCTTACCGGTTCACTTTATGAATATGGACGGCAGCTGGAGATAAGTTAAAGCAACCAGCCGTTGTACCTAATTGCGAGCGAAATAAAACCGCCATTGTGGACACGAAAATTGCTGTTTCTTGAGAATTTCTAGAGTGAGAAATAAGTTACCTCACGGCTACTATAAATCTTTTTTATAGATGAATTCTAACGCGCGCTCTGATTGGCCAAAAATGTGTGGTTTATGAAAGTATAATTATCACGATTGCATGTGCTCAAAAAAGATTTTTGCTCAAAATTAAATCTATATAATAATTGTTAAATAAACAATAACACGAGCGCGCTGCATTGTGGTTGGTTGGGATTCTCGAAGTCTAGCTCGAAGCACCTAATTTTTTCATTTTTTTTTTAATGTCCGTTGTGTGCAAGCATACTTTTACCTACCACTGTATATGTTTACTGTATAGATTTTGAAAAGCTAACATCTCGAAATTTAAAATTTTGAGGTTTTATTTAGAGTGATATAATTTTGCATTATGGATGTTTTTTTCGGATCACGGTTTGTTGGGCTGCCTGTTCAATGTCTGAACAAGGGAGTCTGGGATCTTATATTCCATATATGGTAATGAGTGGTAGATTTGAAAATAGGAACCGAAGCCGAAATCATAGTTGGCGGATAGAAAAAAGCTCCATGTAAAGTTTCAAATCCTCTTTTAATATTGAATAAAATGCCTTACAAGCAAAAGYTTGTAAAGACATATGGACGACACAAGTTCAGGACTGTTAAATCTGATGTTTGGGCGAAATCGCCGGCAGTTTGCAGTTCTGGAAATGATAGCTCAGATTTCGAGTCTCCGGCTCTTCGGTAGGCAATGTTATGCTTTTTGATGTGTTTCTACTAAATGGTTCCTTCAATTCATTAGCTTTCGTTTCTTTAAATCCAGATTATACCACAACTTCTTAGTTTGAGGATCTTGTTTTTGCTGTTCTATAAGCTTCAGCCTTCGAGCAAAACTAGTTCGAAACCTTCCGTACTGATCGTACGTTTGGAACTGTTTGACATCAAGCTTGATTTATTATTAACTTAACTTATACAGTTTTAATATACCTTTCTTTCTCGATAGAAAACCACTAGTGACATGTACAAACCTCCCAAACACCCAGYGGAGATTTCCAAATCTGAAAGCAAAGTCCACCAACGCTAATCGAACCAACAAAGAAAACATTTTGGAATCTTCGAGTTCATCAACTTCGAGTGATTCGTCTTCATCTCTTTGTGCACGCGTTGAAACTGTCCCCGARACCCCTCCTTGGGCTGTAGGTGGTTATAAAGATGAGAAAAAGAAGTCTGTGTCTGGAATGAAATGTTTATCTGTTAGAATTACGCCAACTTCAGCCGATAGCTGTGGATCTGGAAGGGAACTTTCAGAAAGTTCTTTAAATAAAAGTTGTTCTTCAAGTTCAGCTTCTCCAGAGTTAATAGCTAACCAGAAAATTACTTCAATTTTAGAAAGCTCTAGAAGACTTTCAGTGGCTTTATCTTCTGCTTCAGTATCAAATCTCAGTTCTAAACAAGAAAGTTGTAATTATTATTCCAATGGTTCTGTATTGTGTATTCAGAGTTCTACTCCAGCTGAGCATTCACATAACCCTTTACAACTATCTCAGTCAAATAATGAAAATTCAAGCCAGACATATAGTACTTCAACACCAGTAATAAGAGCAAATTCAAGGAATTCCCAATTTGTGACAGTCCGAGGRGGTCGTGCCAAGAATCAAATCAGACAAAACCAATTACTTTCTATATCTGATTGTCAAGTCTTTGTTGAACATTTGAAGATAACACCAGAACAGTATAACATTGTAAAATCATCATTCAATGATGGTGAAGTATTGATAGGAGATGTTGAGTCAAAAAATAGCTCAAATGTCTCAACTGAAGAAGTCGGGGGAAATGATTCATTGTCAAATAACYTGTTTACTCAAAGCCTCAATAGATCAAAGACTGACAAAAATGCTGCAGGAACGTCTCCAGTCTGTGAGAGTTTTGGCTCCAGTCAAAGTGATTTAATTTCTGACTGCGTAGTTTCATTGRAGAAGCTTCGACTTTCTCCATTTAAAGTAAATGGAAGACTGGACAAGAAAAGACTTTGTGTTCGGGTTTCGTTGGATAGTACTGCATCGTCACTGTCAAGTATTTGTGAAGACGATGGTAACCCTGTTACACCACCAAGAAACCAGACATCTCATGTCTCATTTTTGGTGAGTAGTTGGTTCCTGAAGGAATTTCCTGTGAGAATTTGAATTCCTATGAGATGCAATGATGCCATGAATTCTTCTTCCTTGAATGATTACAAAATGTCTAATTAATGAAATGTAATCCACCAAAATATAAACATTTGTTGGATAGCAAATTGTCAATCGATAACCATCCTCCAGTTAWTTMYWTCWWCWWYMT